GTTCGCATCCTGCATCACCCGCGGCACAGCTCTCAGTTGGCTCTAGTTGTCCCCCAGGAAAGCCTGGGAGATGCTGATCCTTCGTGTGGGGCTGAACTAAGCCTTAGCGGCCTTGGCAGTGCGCAGAGGAGAAACACCCCATGCAGGTGTTAGGTGCAGACGTGTCTGCCCATCTTAGGCCTGCGTCTGCCTTTCGGGGCCTCTTAGTTCAGGCACGAGTGCTTGCATTTCTCATTCGCTGAGTGTGCAGCCCGGCCCTTCCCCCTGGCCCTGCAAGGCCCCATGGGCCTCTACCACGGCCTCCTTCCTGCCTCTGTCTCTGGCCAATGGCCTTGCCTGTGGTTGCTCAGATCCAAAACTAATGGTGCTGGGGCCACACCCAGGCAGTCTTGACAGCAGGAAGGCGGCTGTCACGCTGCCCGGGCTTTGACCTGAGTCCCCTACTCCGAACCAGCCCTGTCCCGAAGGCCTGGCCCCTGGGTAAAGCTGGAGTCCACATGCCTGAGGAAGAAGGAGGAAGGGACACCAGGTTCTCCGCAGGCCCCGGCTCCCTGGCCTTGTGGTCTCTGGCAGGTGGTCTGCCCAGCCCACCGTGGGCCTCAGTTTCTCTACCTGGAGGAGAGGCGGAGACTGGAATGAACCCCCTCGAGGGCCGTTCCTTCCTGTCCCTGGGCTCCGCAGTCTTCCTCGGCTCCGCCGAGATGGGTGGGTAGAACTGTGTGGCCGGGGGAAGCCAGGGCTGTGGCCACAGGAGGAGGAGCAGCTTAAGGGCCCTCTGTAGGAAAAGCTCTGCATTAGGCAGAAGCCACAAAGCCCTTATCAGAAAAGCAGGAAGCTTGGGCGGCCCTCACACAGGATGGAGTGAAGGTTCTGGAAGATGGGCCAGGCCGAGCGCCTGCTGTGAGACTGGGCCTCCCTCACAGCTGCTCTTGACGCCATTCTGAAGGACCAGCCAGGCAGCTTCTGTCCGAGTTGCTTCCTCTCTGACTGTTGCTCTGGTCACAGCGGCTCGTGAGCACCTTCCACAGCCTTTGGTTTCTTTCCGACGCCCTCCCGTTGGTCCTCTTTCCCTCCAGACTGGGCTTCTCCTCAGAGGTCCCTGCAGAAGCTCTGGGCGCCCTCCTCTCATCCCGCTGACTGCTGTCTGCTCTGGCAGCCAGGTCCCACCGCGGGCAGAGTGCTTGGAGTCATCTCCACCGGGCCCTCGAGGGCTTGACAGGCTGCTGGGCCTCAGAGCCATGTGTGCTACCCAAGGACGGGGCTGCGTCTCCAGCCTTCTTGGGAGAAGGGCTGAGGAGACCCCAGTCCTTCACAGATAGGGAAACTGAGACCTAGGGAAGTGACCTGCCCAGAGTCCCCCAGTCAAGCTGGAATCTGAGTGTCCTAGGCCACCCTGTCTGTCCCGAATTCTCCTAGGTTCTGTACTGCCAGCCTTCTTGCTACCAAGTTTCTGGTAACTCAGGAAGCTGCCATCCCTGTTCAGAGCACAGTCCGGATGCCCCACCCCAGCCCTAGGCCTCCCCACAATGCCCCTCCTTTTGGAAGAGGAAGTTTTTATGTCCCCTTCACACCTCTCCCACGCAGGGTGTGCTCTGCTCTGTGACCTCTGAGGAGGAAGCAGCCTGGGCCACCAACCCGGAGAGTTTCCTTTCGGTGGTTCTTTGGGTCCTGCTCGGCTCTGGGCCCTGCGCCCCCAGACTTCTGTGAGCTTCCGGTTCGTGTGGACGATGACAGGAATGGATATCCCAGCATGCACTGCCCCAGGTCCTGTGGTTCCAGACTGGGCTGGAGATTCTGAGAACTGTGCAGTCCACTTGCTCCTCACCCGGAAGGTCCACAGAGCACTGGAGTGCCTGTTTGGTCACCATGCCAAACATGGGGCACACCCAAAGTGGGCTTCAGAAGCGGTCTCTGTCCTGAAGGGGGCCTTGCTGGACAGAAGACACAGACCACCAACTAGATGCGGGTGCTGTCCTGGGAACCCGGGATGGGGAAGGCCGGAGGAAGCTAGAGAAGCAGTGGGTGCCTGCGAGAGAGCCTGGGCAGGGTGGACAAGGACATGTGTGTTGGGGCCAGGAGGGACCCACGCTTTGACCTAGCAAATTTGCTGACAGTTTTTAAGAAGTGATACGGTAACACTTCCTGCTGGCTGAGGTGCCCTGAAACCGGAAGCCATCCTAGTAGCCATTTGTGGGCAAGAAGTCTGGTAGGACTTCTGGAGGGTGGGGCCAGTCATGTTAGATGTGTACACAAGCGTGCTTGCTTGTTTGCTTGTTTTCTGGTGTGAGACTGGAACCCAAGCATGAACTGCATGCTCTACACATGCTCTGAGCACTGTAAGTCACTGAAATGAACGCATTTATACTGTAGTCACGCTGTATTGTGACTGCTCATAACACATTTGGAAAACTAAGGTATAAGAAAGCGCAGGTAATATTCCAGTGCTGAATACAGCTGCAGAGACCAAGATGTGCCTTTGTGCTCTAGGATTGTCTCTCAGAAGTGGGATTTCATTTTTATATTTCTCTGCATTTTCTGTCCTGGAAAAACATGTTTGCAACATTTAAATGTTAAGAGAATGGTAGGGGGATTCTGACCTGGGGACTGACGGGTTTAGGGGTTCATGCTTAAGGCCATGTCCTGAGCCTGCCTTCCGTTTGGATGTGTGGCTCTGAGGACTGAACCCAGGGCCTTCATAGCTCTTATTAAACTTTTTATTTTGAGACAAGATCTTGCTAAGTCATTAAGTTGCCCAGGCCAGGCTGAAATGAGATCCTCCTGTCTCAGCCTGCCAGAGTGCTGGGTCACAGATGTACACCCCAACGCCTGGCAGTCTGGCAGTTCTTTATGTGGAAGAGTTCTCCACCGCCTGTGACTGCTGTTATTTGGAACAGGACAGTGTTTCCTGGGCTTGGGTTTTACTTCAGATAGCAAAGCATGTGATCAGTGGCAACAAAGAGCTGCTCTCCCCATGTTCCAGATGCCCACCAAGAACCTTTCCAGTGTGGAGCATGCGCTGTGCAGGACTCTGCGGGTGCATTAGTCCCGCGAGCCCCGCCTCAGCCTCACACGGAAACAGGCCTGGCACCATCACCAGGCCACCCTCCTGGGTCTGAATCCCAATCGGGGGATTCTAGGGCCCTGGCATTCTTACCTTCTGCCCTACGGGTACTAACATTTGCAGTCCTGGTCTCGAGGCTGGTTTGGACGGGGCCCAGTGTGACCGTGTCAAACCCCAAGGCCTATAGAGACTTTTGCCTGGAGAAGCCGAGGTGGATGTGAGTAGAGTCAGGCGCGGGCCCCAGAAAACACGCCCCGGGTTCACCTGGACCAGTGGCCGCAGCAGGGAAGGGGTGGTGTGTGGTCCATTGTCTCCCCCTCCTGCGGCCCTTCACCTCCAGATTCCTGCGTTGACAGCTCCTCTGCCTGCGCCTGGCCAGGCCTCCTCCCGCCCCGAAGGGAGAGCGGAGGGGAGCTGGTTATCAGGCTGCAGGCAGATCTGGGCGCTGGGATGGGGGTGGCGCCACGCCTCCCTCATCTGCCAGACATAGCAGTGTGCCAGGCTCTGTGCCTGGCCCCAAGCAGCTGGTCCTGAAGCGCCCCTTGGTGACCAGCACTCCGCTATCAGGGTGCTTGCTCTACAGCAGGGGGTCTTGAGGTCAGAGTTACTACCAACTTTTATCCTAATAGCTGCTTTTTACAAACCTGTCACCGTAGTCAAAAGTAATGTTTTTCTTTTTAAATACATTTTTGCAACTTTTTTCATGGTCTTTTTTTTTTTGAATCAGTACCAGTGATCAAACTCAGGTCCTTGAGCTTTCAAGGCAGGCAGTAGAACCACTGAGCTAAATCCCCAGCCTGGTCTGACTTTTTAAAGTGGTTCTTAAAATAGGATCTAGAACATTTTTTTCTCCTATTTTTTTCTTCCTTTTTTGAAGTTTTCCCTATGCAGTGCAGGCTGGCCTGGAACTTGCGGTGATCCTCCTGCCTCTGCCTCCCGAATGGTGTGAGGACAGGCGTGTGCCACCAAGCCCCGCTCTCTCTTTTCTTTTTAAAACACCATGAAGGGGCTGGGGATTTAGCTCAGTGGTTCTGGCACCTGCCTCGCAAGCGCAAGGACCCGAGTTCGATCCCTGGTACCACCAAAAAAATACATAAAGAAAGAAAGAAAGAAAGAAAGAAAAAAAGAAAACACCATGAAACATGTACTAAAAATCAGTTTCTTTTCCATCCCAATTCTTGACCCCTTGGCCAGACCTGGGCCAGCTTTTCACCTACCTGTGCTCCAATGAGAAAAGTGTGCATGGGCAAATAGTGTTGAGTGAGAGTTAGTTCCGCTTTCCTGCTCGGACTGTGCTAGAGCTCCTCTGTGTTTTGGAAGGTTAAAATATCTTTATTTTACAAAATGACGGGGATGCACACCTGTAATCCCAGCTACTTCAGAGGCCGAGGCCGGAGGACTTCAAATTGGAGATCAGCCTGGGCAACTTAGCAAGGTCCTGCTCAGAATAAAATTTTTATAAAGGGACAGGGGTGGTGGGGGCTGGGGATACAACTCCATGATAGAACAGTGACCTGGTGTGGGCTACCCAAAAGTATTAATAATATAGCAAATTGAAATAAAAACGAGGTGAAGCGGTGATCTGCAAATACTTTCATCAAGCATCCTGGGCCGCCTACCCCACCACCCCCACCTCCCTGGTGAGAAATATTTACTGTGAGCCGGGGCTGTGCCTCAGTGCAGAGCACCTGCTTAGCATGCATGGACCCTGGGTTCAGCCCCAGTACCAAAAAGAGTGAATTTAAAATGCTGTCCGTCTATGGAATCCCGGTGTCAGTGGCCACCACGCCGTGATGGGAGGCCCCTCTGCCAGCTTCTCCTGTCAGACAGCCAGCGCGGGCCAGGTTTGGGTAAAGCATCCTGAGGGGAGGCGCGAGCCGCCTCATCGGCTTCTGACCCTGCCGGCCTCCGCTGCTCACCTGGAAATCATTTCTTCCAGGGGCACCGAGAGCAGGAGCAGCTGCCCGACCCAGAGCCCCAGGAACTGAGTCCCCTGAATAAGGACACAGGTGAGAAGCCAAGCCCACACCTGTCCCCCGACTCATGCAGTTTCTATCTTATAATCAACAAAGAGCATGGAGCTACTTAAAGAGCCCTCGAGGTATTCGGTAGGTTACATTAATAGGAGTATCTTCTCCAAAACCTCAGAGGTGATCACCCTGACCCGTGTTTAGTTGTTCTGAGCTGCTGATACCATACCTAGGGCGCTATGTCTATTTCTGGAAAGTATTTCAAAGGGGTTCAGAAAAACTGGAGGGAATACAGTAGAGCAAAATCAGGCTAGTAAAAATCTGGAAAATATGTCCTGCAAGGAGTGGGTGCAGGAACAGAGAACAATGTGCCTGGAAAGGAGATGCCGTAAGCCCACTCTCTCCACGTGTCCACAGCACCGGTGGAGAAGAAAGGTACTGCCCAAGAGCGGTACCAGGACCAGCAGGCCAAATTCAGCCCTGTCTCAAAGGACTGCTTGCGGCTGCTGATTCCAAACCTTCTCTCTGCGGTGCTGAATTTCGTCCCGGAAGCCGGCTGTAATAGTGCAGATCAAGTTCAAGCCCCAGATAAGCACTGGACCCAGATCAGGTTTCTCCATCTGTATATAAAATTCCCTGAGCAACGTCACAGGCAGATTCTGAGCCCTGCCTCTGGTGGGCTCCCTAACAACCTCTGGCAGTGGAGCTGAAGGATCTGCATTCTACAGGATTCTTTACAATAGGCTTGCGGGATCCCTTGGGCCCGGCTCTGCCACGCCCACTGCTGACCTCACCCCGTCTACCCACTCTCCCGAGCCCAGTGCCCCGGAGCCTGCTCCTCGCTCAGTCCACAGGGGTCTGACCGAGATGCAGGCTCGGCGTTTCCAGCTGCACCTGCGCCGGGCCCTGCTTGGACTTAGTAACATAAAACTCACAGAGCCAGCACGGCCTCCCGGGCTGAGCATGGCTGAGCCTGCAGAGAAAGCGTTAATGAGCACGAAGAACCTGAATCCAATGCCTGGCCCTGTGTGGTGCTGCCTTTCTTTCTGTTGGGAGCGGGCAGCGTAAGGTGGGTGTCAGGAGCATTAGGTGTGTTTTTTTGTTTTTGTTTTTTGTTTTTTTGTGGTGCCAGGGAGGAACTCAGGACCTTGCACTTTCGAGGCAGGTGGCGGCACCACTGAGCTAAATTCCCGGCCCCTTAGGAAGAGTACTAGTTTGTTTTGTTTGTTTGTTTGTTTTCAGTACCAGGGATCAAACTCGGGACCTTGCGCTTGTGAGGCATGGGCTAAATCCCCAGCCCGCGTTAGATGTGTTAAGAGGCGTTGGGCAGGTGGCAGGCGGACAGTGTGGAAGGTCCTGTCGCCACTGCCCTGATGGTGAACTGTGCAACCCTGCGCAGGTGGCAGAAGGTGTTTTGGGGGTGACCAGAGAGTACCCACCCTGGATGTGCAAGGACGTCTGTGGGCACTTGGAGCCATGCCAGTCCTGGTACACTGCCAGGACTGTCCCTGCTTTTGCTTTTCTACAGCCGAGGGCACATAGCACCTGTTCAGGAGTTTCCCTGCGCAGAGGGAGGACTCCCAGGGAAGCCTCCTCCCTACCCCGCTGGGGAGGAGCGGTGTGAAGGTGAGGGGGCCCTGGCCTGGCAGGTGAGCGCAGGACGAGGTGGCCCCTGCCACACATCCTGAGCAGGGGAAACTGAGGACCCGGCCAGCTGCGAGCCACATCCTGGCCAAAGGAGTTGCAGCTCCAGCTGACATAATGGACGTGAATTCCTTAAGGAAACAGTGAGAGATCCACGTTTTGGAGGAAAACCTTCCCAGTTAGGAGTAGGTGTGCTGGGAGCGAATCGATCCCCTCTGGCCCGACTGGCCGGGAGCTTCCGGTGCTGGAGGAAGGAGGGCTCTGTGGCCAGTGAGATCTGGGGAGCCGTCCGGAGGTGTGCGGGGTTCGCCTCCTTCACTGTGGCTTCCCACGCCCCTGCCCTCCCTGCGCTGTGCTGCTTGAGTGTTTTGCTCTCTTCCTGCAGCCACAACTGTCCAGCTGTGCACAGCTGAGGAGGCCGAGTGGCACCAGAAGGACATCGCCCGGCTCCTGCAGCGACAAAAAGAGGAGGAGAGGAAGTGGGCCCAGCAGGTGGGCCCGGCTTTTCCCCAGGATCGGGGAACTTGGGGTTTGTGTCACAAGTGTCTCTTGGCCTTCTTGCCAAGGAGGGAGCCCTTGGTCCGCTGCACTCGTGTTTATCTCCGGGCACTGAGTGCCAGACACCGGGGCTACGGCAGTGGCGCAGGCAGCCGCCCTCACCGAGCTGACCTGGGATCCGAGAGGGGCCCAAGTCGGAGGTGCTGCTGCGCTCATGGCCTTTGGGCCTAGCGTGTTTGTGTGGGACACTGCACTAGGTCTTGCTCGTGAGTTGTGAAGAAAAAACAGTGCCCCTTCCTGCTGAGTGTGATCACTTATTTAAGACCCTCGTGTAGTTCGTGGCCATGATCCCAACACTCAGAAGGCTGAGGTAGGAGGATCCCCATGAGTTCGAGGCCGCTGAGGGCTACTTAGTAGGACCTGTCTCCAAAAATATTTAAAAAATATATATATATATATATATTTAGAGGCAGGCACGGAAGCACACACCTGCAATCCCAGCTACTCCAGAGGCTGAGGCTGAAGGGCCACAAGTTCAGGCTCAGCCTGGGCAACCTGACTAGACCCTGTCTCACAATAAAACCTAAAGAGGTCTGGAGTGTGCCTCCACGATGGAACCCCTGCCTAGTGAATATGAGGTTCTGGAATTCATCTCCAGGACCTCGAGACAAAATTATTTGGAGTGACTATCAAGGGGCATTCCGCACACTCACCGGCCCCAGTCAGTCAGATGCCAGGGCTGAAGGAGACAGGCAGAGACAGCAGGGGGCTGAGCTGTGTCTGCCACGAGAAGCCATCGCCCATACCGTCTCGTGCCCTCCCCTCTGTGCCTCAGTTTCCCCCTGGCACGCTGAAGATGACAGAGTAGGGAAGATCTTAGGATGCGCGCAGAAGTCTGCTCTAAATCTTCACATGCGTTCCCTTTGGTGATTCTTGTGAAACACACTCAGTGTGAGCCTTCACGGCTTGGCGACCCGAAGTCTCTCTTTATGAACATAGCTGCATGAAACTGTGCTGCTACTGGGAACTAAAAGATCTTCCGCTGGTCTCAGAGCACTGGGGCTGAGTGGGGGCACTTGTGCCCAGCCCATCCTTGGGGAGCCCCAGCACATCACAGCAGTATCTGCTTGGCCACGGCTATTAGGAAAAGTGGGCTTTTGGAACACATCTGTGGCCTTTGGTTTGGTAACAGAACCGTTCTAATGTGGTTTGGCCCTGACCGCGGCCTGGGGGTGCTTAGCTGCGAGACTTTAGTTCCCCAGCATTGGCGTTGGGTCCTGTCACTGAGGAAGGCCGGGCTCGAGCCTTTTTCCACTGGGCCTCGGCTCTGGTGCAGCCATCACCTGTACCCAGGCAGGTGGCGCAGGGACTCGGGGCATCTCCAGTGTGGGGAGAGTGGGCAGGCACCTCGGCCTGGGAAGATGCAGGCTGGGAAGGTGGCTTCTGGGTCTTCTGAGCAGGCAGAGGCTCACAGGACCCAGGGCAGAGGCGGGCCTGGTGGGGAGTATAGAGCGCCCCAGGAAGGCTGCCCGGGTGCCAGCCTGGCGAAGGGGCTGCTTTCACTCCTTACACCACAGCAGAAGGAACTGGGCAGCGGCTTCCTGCTGCCTGGGCCACTGGACTGAAGACCCCCAAGTCCCCCGTACCTGGGCAGTTCTCTAGGGACCCTTGCTTAGCCCGAACCGGCAAGGCCCACCACGGTGCCGTGTCCCTTCCCTCTTTCCCATCACTCAGCAGAGGACACAGCTTTGTGTGGCTGAGACCCTGCCCTGAGCCGAACCACCTCACTTACCTCACCACTGCCCTTTGCCCCCAGGTGGAGGACAGGGAGCTGCAGCTCCAGGAGAGGCTGGAAGAGCAGCGCCATGCCCTGGACAGACAGCGGGAGGAGGCCCTGCGAGGTGAGGACCAAGATGTCTCAGGGCCTCCAGTGGCCCCTCTCCGGCTCTGCACCTCCTGCTGAGCCAGAGCTGTGCTCACAGGGCCCTTGGTCCTAGGAGGGTGGTGGGATTTTTATCTCAGTGGTGCTGCACCTGCCTCACAAGTACAAGGTCCTGAGTTCAATCCCTGGTACCGGAAATATCCCTCCCACCTCTGGAAGGCTGAGGCAGGAGGATTGCAAATTTGAGCCCAGCCTGGGCAACTTGGTGATTTAGTGAGACCTTGTCTCAATAAAATATAAAGGGCTGGAGGTGTAGCTCAGTGCAGAAGCCCTGGGTTCATCCGCAGTAGGTACCAAAACTACCACCACAAAATGGCACCATGTTGCTTTACCTTATTTGACAGTTTTCTTTTTTCTTTCTTTTTTTTTTTTTTTTTTTT